TGTTTCAACCCAACTTTGGGTCAAATATGGACTAACCCAACTTTTGGGTTAAAACTTTGATTTAAAAATTTAACCCAACAGCTGGGTTAGTTCATATTTGACCCAACATTGGGTTGAAACAACCTAGCATTTTTAAAGTGTAAGAACAAGATCAGGACTAATCCCTGAGCGTATTGAGTCTGAGGTTCTGAAGAACACAAATCTGTACATTCCTACATTGAAGGAAATTCATGAACTGGAGGATATTTGGAGTAGCTCTAATGGGAACACAATAAAATGGACAAAGACTTGAGCTCAGTCTTTTTCCGGTTTACTCTCTTCACACAAACACTCATTAAAGGATTAGTTCACCCAAAAGATGAAAATGTTTCCAAACAGCTGATAAAAACATCACAATAATCCACAAGTAATCCACAGCACTCCAGTCCATCAGTTACCATCTGGAGAAGACAAAAGCTGAAACTAATCCATCAAGACTTTTTTAACTAAAATATGAGTTTATAATCCATAGTAACATCCTCCAGTGAAAAAGTGCATCTCCTGTTGTCTCTCGCATCAAAATCCAGCCATTAGAGCTGTTTAAATGCTGCTTGATCTGTGCAGATTTCTCTCCTGATTCAGACCAGACCACTTTTTCACTGAAGTGTTATTATGGATTATGGACTCGTATTTTAGTTCAAAACGTCTTAATGATGGATTTGTTTCAGCTTTTGTCTTCTCCAGATGTTAACTGATGGACTGGAGTGCTGTGGATTACTTGTGGATTATTGTGATGTTTTTATCAGCTGTTTGGACTCTCATTCTGACGGCACCCATTCACTGCAGAGAAGTGATGCAATGCTACATTTCTCTAAATCTGATAAAGAAACAAACTCATCCTAATCTTGGATGGCCTGAGGATGAGCACATTTTCAGCAAATTTTCATTTTGGGTTGAACTACTGCTTTAATGTAGTGTGATGCAATTTTTATGATCCCTCTTATTTAAAAAAAAAATTATGACAACTTTGCAGATTCAGCAAGGTACATGTAAACCTATGACCACAACTGTATATAAATAACATTGACTTGACTTGGTGTACACAGTATACATACTATATAAAGCATAAACAGTAAGAGTTTTATGGCAGTGTGCGATTACAGACCTCAATCCAGAGCGAATGCGGCGTGACGTTGGGTGGACGGGGCAGCGGTTGACTCTCTTCTGAAGCAGCTAAAGGATCGGCCTCCGACTCCGTCTCTGAGAACAAGCCCATCTTCAGCTCGACGGTCATCTGCCAGGCGGCCGCCATCTCACGCATGAACTGCACACACATGCAATGAGCACTGCGATCTAAGAGCACGCCACACTGTTATAATCCAGATTTACCTGGACTTCAATCCCATTGCGGGCAGCGAGCAGCCACTCCCAGCAGGCTATGGCCGTCTCCATTCCCTGCTCCGTGAACATCTTCAGAGGAGACCAGCAGAGATGATGCAGCAGCTGAAGATCCCAGTCTGAGACAGAGATGTTTGTGTGTCACTCAAACATGATCTGCATCCCAAACGGTCCATATGATCATCTGCGTGCTACCTTTAGTGCTGATAAGCAGCGCGGTCATCTTGAACATGTTCTGTGTGAAGGCGTCCGAGTCTTTGGCGACCAGAGCGTCACTCATCTGAGAAACCATCAGCTTGCTGAGGTTTGACTCACTGTGCGTCGCTTTGGCAAACTGAAGCATCCCAGCAACCTCAACATACACAGATACACTCGATCAATACATTACAGACACAAACATAAATCTCACAAAAACATATTTCACCCCAATTAAGCCTTAAAGTAAGCCTTTTTAATACCTTTAAAACGATTATATATTCAACATATATTATTAAGCAGTACAGCTAATACTACCATAAAGTACAAATCATTTGATGGTAAATATGAAATAAATTAACAATATATTATTTAAATGACAGAATGATGATTGAGTATAATGAGAATGAGAACCTTTTTTTTTTTTTTTACATTTCAGTAAGGAGAATTTTGAATAAAAGTGTGCATAACTCATAAAATTATTTTACAATGCATAAATAAATGTCTTAAATGCATCAATAAGTGCATAAATGTAAACAAAATGCATAAATAGTGCATAAATATCTAAATGAATAGATAAATGGATACATCTACAAATATGCATAAATAACTGCACAAATGTCTAAATGAATGCATACATCTAAAAAAAAGCATAAATGCATAAGTGCATAAATAAATGCATGAAAATTCATAAATGCACAAATAACTGAATAAACGTATAAATACATGCATAAATAAATAAGCACATAAATAAGTGCATAAATAAATGCAAAAACAAATCTAAAAATGCTTGAATGCATTAATAAAGGCATAATTGAATAAATAAAAAAAAGTGCATGAATAAATACTTGAATAAATGTTTAAATGTATGGATAAACTGCACAAATAACTGCATAAATATCTGAATACATGTATAAATAAGTGCATAAGTGCATTAGAGCATAAATAAGTGCATAAATAAGTACATAAATAAAGTGCTAATAAACACAAATAAACTGCATAAATCAATAAATAAAAACATAAATAAAAGAAGTTTTTTTTTTTATCATAAAAATAGACTTAATTTTCTTTATGCAAAATTATAAGAACATATAATTTCTTATTTCTTTCTTTTAATGTTTGGTGAAATATGAGTCATATGAAATATGTTCTCGTCAGTACTGGTGAGATTCACTCATAAACACCCAATTGAACGTGTTTACCTCTCCAGTGTAGCGATTCCGCAGGTTGAGCGACGCCATGAAGTTGGAGTAGTCCTTCTTCACACAGGTGGGCCGCTCCGTCAGCTGGGTAACCTGGGAATGATGGAAACTGACCAGTTAAAACATCCCACTACAAACATTACTAATGACATTTCTGACTAGAATATATCCATTCATCTATAAAGATATACTCTTATGAGCGTCAGGAGGAGCTGACCGCTCTACTGCGATGATAACAACATATACTGATTTATAAATGACAAATGAGTTACAGATGGAGCCAATGAAAGAAGTGAGGACAACAGTAACAGCACCAACCTGAGGAAAAGCTGCCTGGGGCGAGGGGGAGGAGCACACGACAGGCCACACCCACCAAACCCGCCGCCAGCCAATCATAGCACACACACAGATGAGTTAGCAGCCAGCGGTTAGCAGAGATGGAATGATGTAACGGCACAAATAAAGTGAATGACAAAATATTGGCCACAACACATTTACACATGACATGCTGCAAAATAACATCAGAACGCAAAGCATGCACAAAAACAACACATTTAAAAGGCCCAAAAAATAAAAAGCCAATAAGAGCCAAATTGATATGAACACAACAGTGCTAATGAATATTCATAAAGCATGATTGCAGGGATAATCAATATCACACAGCTGAAATGCAGTGAGTGCGTTAGCTGGGATCACGTCTGAAATACCTGGTTAGTTTTAAGCTGTATATTGTGAAAAACACTCTTCACAATACACATTGTTTCCAAGCAGCTTTACAGCAATTCATTCTGTTAATGACCTTAATGTGGACCTTAAAGTGCAGTGCATTGTGGGATACAGTACCTCATACAGTATACTCCGTTATACTGAAATGTAGCAGGTATAGTAAATATAGCAGGGCATCTGCTTCAATACATACAGAAAATTCACATCATAAATTGCTGTATGCATTATCTGCTAAAAGAGCTGTCAGGGTTTAAGACATTATTACTGCAAAAAATCTCTTCAAAGTTGCTTTGAAACAATGTGCATTATGAAAAGAGCTACGTAAAATTGGCTTGACAAATAAATAAAAATGAATATTTAAATTCATAATAATTGCATAATTGTATAAATGCAAATTAATATTCAAAAACATTATTTTAAAATAAGACTTTTTACATTTAGAATTGTGCTTAATTTTCAAAAATAATGTCAGTGCATATATAAATGCAATGAATAAATAAATGCATGTAAATTAATATAATGTTTTGACATTGAGATTTGTGTAAAAGTATGCTTAATTGTCAAAAATAATGTCATAATGTATACATAATTGCATAAATGCATGTACAAATAAATGCATATTAATATTAAAATATATTACATAAGAATCAGTTTTTTTACATTTATAATTGTATGGTTAATTGTCAAAAAATAATGCATGAATAACTGCATGTATAAATAAATGCATAAATGCATTAATATAAGCAATTTGTGTGTTCACATGATGTACAAATTCAGATGTTCTGTGAATCTTAAAGCAGTTCAAGATGTTTTGAATTTAGTGGATTTGAGTGAGCATGTGGACTTCTTCTAAAACGATTGAAGATTTTATTCCGATCCGCTAAAGACTCACTACCGTCTTACCTTAATCTGGCCAAACACCTCAGTTACCATCTCAGTAACCATCTACCGTAAGAGTACAGCAGTGATTAGCATCAGGACCTGTGTCTGTAACAGGGACTCAGGTCAGGTGTGTTTCTCACCCCCAGCGTTGTGCTCTGACGGTTGTATCCCGCGAAGCTGAGAATGCTCTCGGTAGCCATCGCCAAACCCGTGTGCTGAGACAAACCCGACAGCCAGTTCTGATGCTTGTTCAGATACTCCTGAGACAGACACAAACAGATTTTTTGAAAGAAATGAATACTTTTATTCAGCAAGGATGCATTAAATTGATCAAAAGCGACAGTAAAGACATTTATACTGTTACAAAAGATTTCAATTTCAAATAAATGCTGTTGTGTTGAACTTTCTATTAATCAAAGAATCCTGAAAAATAAAATGTATCAGTTTCCACAAAAATATCGGGCAGCACGACTGTTTCCAACGTTGATAATAATCAGAAATGTTTCTTGAGCAGCAAATCAGCATATTAGAATGATTTCTGAAGATCATGTGACACTGAAGACTGGAGTAATGATGCTGAAAATTCAGCTTTGATCACAGAAATAAATTACAGTTTAACATACATTCACACAGAATGTAGTAACTAACACTGCACCCAATTCACGGAGCCCATTATGGTAAAATATGTCTGGTGAAAGTGAGCATCTGTGCACGCTTTTTGAGGCTAATATTACCCATCTGCTTTAGATGACATTCACACAGAATGTAATAATACGACTCAAACTAACACTGCACCCAATTCACGGAGCCCATATGGTAAAATATGTCTGGTGAAAGTGAGCATCTGTGCACGCTTTTTGAGGCTAATATTACCCATCTGCTTTAGATGAACAGATTTTTTTTTTTTTCAGTAGTAAAAAGATTAAAAAATAAATAAAAACAAGAAATGTGCAGCTGAGGCTGCAACAGTTTATAAACGTATAAACAAAAGTAATAGTGCATTTTGATTCATTTAACAACATGCAAGCAGAAAATGACAAAGAGTTTGTGAAAATGCTTTACCAGTGAAGTTTATAATAGTTTATAATAAAACAATCAGATTAAACAAATATGTATATATTTATTTATTTATTTTATTTAGTCATTTATCAGACGCTTTTATCCAAAGCCTTAATAAAAGACCTATAGACATAATAAATCATGTAACAAATTAAAAGAAATAACAAATACAAATAATGCAAATCAAATGACAGTAGTTTATCACTAATCCTAAAAAATAACACTGAGCCAAACACACAACAACTTACTTACACATAGTAAGAAATGGTTATAAAAACTGAAACAGAAGCGAAACAAGTAGTAGGAAAGAGGAGATGCATACAGATGCGGTATGCAAAAAAAAACAAAAAAAGAATAAATAAATAAAACCTGATTTCTGGGACTTGATGTAAATGAGCATTTCAGGGCAATCTGGGTGATATAAACAGCTCGAGACACTCATCAGCCGTGAGCTGGTGTAGAGGCACACAGGTGAGTGCTCTGCAGCACTTTGAGGACAGGTGTGTGTTACATACTGTATATATACAAACACATTTATAAATTCAATATATATAGTCAAGTCAAGTCAAGTCACCTTTATTTATATAGCGCTTTTAACAATACAGATTGTGTCAAAGCAACTGAATCCAGGCTGTCTGCATGAATGCATGACCGTGCAACACATATGATCATAAATACCACATCTCAGACTCAAAGTACATACTTTTAGTGCATACTTATACTAACCTGGAGATGAGATTTGGTAACCGAAGCGGCCCATTTCATGGCCTCCTTCAAGATCTCTCCACAGCGGGCGGCAAAGTCCTTCACGATGCTCTGCACAAACACAAAAACCGTTTCAAAGCAGTGGACTCAGACTGAGCACATATCCTCGGCTCAGAAGCTGTGTCTGTCTCACCTCTCGCGCCTCATGCGTGTCTGGGACCGTTATTCTGTACGGAGTGTCGGGAATGTCGTAGTACGGCTGGTCCTTGTGGATGTCCTGTATAACAGCAGGTTGGGTTAAGAGACTGACGTGTGAGAGTGTAAATACTAGTAATATTGATCATGCATGTGCTGATTTCTGGATGTTTGCTGTACTGACGGCGCTCAGGGACAGAGACAGAGTCTGCAGGATGTCCAACATGGTCTTCAAAACTCTTCCACTCCACAGAAGATGAGGAAACCTAGAGGACAAACACGGATTTGAGAGATTTGAGCTTTTAATATTATTGTATATGACTATATTATTATTATTACTACCTATTATTATTATTATTATTACTATGACCTATTATTATTATTATTATTATTATTACTACCTATTATTATTATTATTATTACTACGACCTATTATTATTATTATTACTACCTATTATTATTATTACTACCTATTATTATTATTATTATTACTACGACCTATTATTATTATTATTACTACCTATTATTATTATTACTACCTATTATTATTATTACTACCTATTATTATTATTACTACCTATTATTATTATTACTACCTATTATTATTATTACTACCTATTATTATTATTACTACCTATTATTATTATTACTACCTATTATTATTATTACTACCTATTATTATTATTATTATTACTACTACAACCTATTATTATTATTATTATTATTATTACCTATTATTATTATAAATTATTACTATTATTGCAACAAAAACAACTATTATTATTCTCTATTATTATAGTTATTATTAATAATATTGATGTTCAATTACAAAAATTAAATCGATAAAGAAATTACTATAGCAATACTACTATTGTAAATAAAATACTAAAAATGAGCATTTAATAATAATAATAATAATAATGGTTGTTGTTGTTGTTAGATTACAATAAAAAAATAATTAAATATAGCAATTAAAATCTGGTAATAAAATACCACTAAAATGAGTATTTAATTAGTATTATTGATTATTATTATTACTACCTATTATTCTCTATTATTATAGTTATTATTAATATTATCGATGTTCAATTACAAAAATTAAATCGATAAACAAATTACTATAAAAATACTACTATTGTAAATAAAATACTAAAAAGGAGCATTTAATAATAATAATTATTATTATTATTGTTGTTGTTAGATTACAATAAAAAATAATTAAATATAGCAATTAAAATCTGGTAATAAAATACCACTAAAATGAGTATTTAATTAGTATTATTGATTATTATTATTACTACCTATTATTCTCTATTATTATAGTTATTATTAATATTATTAATGTTCAATTACAAAAATTAAATCGATAAAAGAATTATTATTATTAATTATTACTATTATTATTGCTACGAAAACAACTATTATTATTATTTACTATTATTATAGTTGTTATTATTAATATTATTGATGTTAAATTACAAAAATTAAATTGATAAATTACTATAGCAATACTACTATTGTAAATAAAATACTAAAAATTAGTAAAATCTGGTAATAAAATACTACAACATTTTTTTTATTTAAATTTAAAACCAACAACTATTATTATTATTATTATTAATATTATTAATTTCAATAAAGAAATATTTTACTATAGCAATAATATTACTGTAACAAAAATAATAAAAAAATAATTACTACTACTGTTGTTTTTGTTAAATTACAAAAATCAGTTAAAGATATATATTTTTTTACAGTAATACTACTAATGTTATAAAAAATATTTGTATTTAACGAGTATTTATTAATACAGTTATTTTACAAAACAACAGTAAAATGACAATACTAATATTTATGTCTGTTTTAATTTCTTTACTTTTATACATTAAACCACAGAGCTTTTATTTTGGCGGCAAACTGCAGGGAGACCTTAAATCTTAAAACATATTTATACACAATTCTCATTACTAGTTTGGGAAGACGTTTGGTGCATTTTGCATTTTCATAAGCAACAAACTTTGTGTGAGAAGCGTTGAAAAAAGCACAACAACTACACGGACCTCACAAATATTGGGTGAAATTGTTCAGTTTACATCACGAGTGATGCTGTCTAGGTCGGGAGTTCGAGAACTAGAGAATGTGTGGATAACGTTACGTTTCTGCGAGTCCTGAGAGGTATTTATCTGCGACCCTGCGGATCCTCTTGTGGGTGTGGTTAAAGTTGACCAATAGGAACTGAGCGTGGCGCTCCAGCTCCTCCTCGTGCTCTTTAGTCTTGGGCTGAAACGGCAATCAATGCGACTGTCAATAATGAGCGATCAATAATGCATTCAGTTCAGTGCTGAGAGATCCTTCAAACGCTCGACTCACTTTCTCAGCCATCATCTGCAGGAAAACCTCGAAGACTTTATCACCCACACAAATCACACACTGCATCATGCCTGCACACCAAGAGAGAGACACTTATTTGCAACGATATCGCTTTGACAAAGTTAAGCATCAGAAGAGTGTTCTTTACTTGGCCATGAAGTTTCCTGAAGATCATGTGATTAGACTCACGATCCTTTCTTTCTTGTATGTGAGCTTCAAAACTAAGAAACTAAGAGTCTCCACATGTTTCCATTCATTTCCTCAAATTGGTTCAATCTGTCCATTTCAATTAAATGACTCAAAACTTGATTCAGTGACTGGTTTGCATCTTCTTTCAAATTCTTGGACATCTCTGTATTGAAGAATGAGAATAAGAACAGTGCTGTCTCTGTGTTGTTTATAATAATAATAATAATAATGCAAGTAAATCTTGCTGTCTATTGTTAGAATGGAATATGATTCTTCATGTTTTGACAGTGTGGGAATTGTTTAACTCAACTTTTACTTTAGTTTACTTCTTATAGTGAATATTTTGAACTTACTAAATGAAATACTAAATCAATATTAAAGTCAGATTGTGATTAGACTAGTTTCACAAACCTTAGATGAGTGAGTTAAGACAGAGATGATTCAATAACATTAATTAGTCGATTTCAACGAATTGATTCAACACATTCTCTCAAAATAAATTGTGTTCATGTTGCATTTCTCATATCAAAATGTAGGTAAATATCATTGTTTATTGTCATATTGGTCCATATACACTACCAGTCAAAAGTTATTGAAGAGTAAGATTTTTAATGTTTTTTAAAGAAGTCTCTTCTGCTCACCAAGCCTGCATTTATTTGATCAGAAATACAGCAAAAGCAGTAATATTGTGAAATATTTTTACTATTTAAAATAACTGCTCTCTATTTGAATATATTTTAAAATGTAATTTATTTCTGTGATGCGCAGCTGTATTTTCAGCATCATTACTCCAGTCTTCAGTGTCACATGATCTTCAGAAATCATTCTAATATGCTGATTTACTGCTCAAAAAACATTTATTATTATTATTAATATTTAAAACAGTCGAGTACATTGGGGGGGGGGTAGTAATGATGCTAAAAAAAATCAGCTTTGAAATCACAGGAATAAATTACATTTTAAAATATATTCAAATAGAAAGCAGTTCTTTTAAATAGTAAAAATATTTCACAATATTACTGCTTTTGCTGGATTTCTGATCAAATAAATGCAGGCTTGGTGAGCAGAAGAGAAATCAGTTTGTTACCGTTCAAAAACTTTTGACTGGTAGTGTAGATATAAATGAATACATATGATTCTTCATGTACGCTTAATGAAAAACATAGGCTACTTTGATTAATTGCAACTAGATTTTTGCTTCTTGCCGTAAACATTTTTGAATCTACTAAAATCAACAACATTAAATTCTGTCATGTTTCTGACCTGATTTGTCTTTCTGGATGGCTTTGTCCTCAAAGTATCTGAACATCACCTGGAAGCGGTCGGCATCATTTGAGTGCAGCATCCTGAGGAAGAGAACGATTAATACACAGAGAGACGCACAGGTAGGGAAATGATGCATGAAATCACCACAATGAGACGAGCTGGAGGAAGGAATGCGTCTCTAACCTCATATACTCCAGCCGGTACACAGACAGCAGGTAAGTGCACATGGCAAAGTCGAGTTTATTGATGAGGGCGGCGGCTTCAGGTGACGGATCCAACAAATTAATGATGGTGCTGCGCAGTTCACTTAACTCCGCCTTCAAAAGGAGATGGGTAACACTTCATTTTGATATTCCACTAACTATAAGCAACATTGCTACTACATGTCAGCTAGCAGTCATTAGAGTATTAGTAGACTGTCTGCTCACACTTTATTTTGATGGTTCCTCAACAGACATTGTAGTAACTATAAATAACTTTGCAACTACTTATTCTACTAACCCTAACCATTGCATAACAGTTTACAAATACTCTAATGAGAGTTAGCTGACATGCAAGGTTTCTTATAATTAGTCCACTTTAGACATTCGACTATCGAAATAAAGTGTAACCAGGAGATTTTTTAACAAACAAAATACAAGCCATATACAGAAACCATTATATACTGTATACTGCATGCTATTTTTGTAAAATGGCATGTAAAACCGTATGCAAGGATAAAGTGGTTCACAACATTGTTGTCACATGATCGAAACACGTGGCATGTTCAGTCAATGGCACCAAGTTAATTTCTCAGAAATAAATTTGGTTGCTTTGCATTTTTGATCAATTTTTCTTATAAAACTGTTGGGAGTTAAATCAAATAAGTCAATAAGCTAAATCTTAAAACTTATCATCTAGCAAGTGAAAATCATGCATCTAATAACTTACATTAATATTAATGCATTTATCCAAAGTGACAAAAGCAATCTGTCAAAGACCCAACAATATTCATAATATATAATGCCAGGTTTGTTTGCAAAACCTGAAGTAGCAGCACATCTGATTTGAGGAGCACAAACACTGCACCTACACACTCAACTTTAACACTTAGCGTTAGAGAAAATAGTTTTATAGATTTTTGACTTAAAGGTGGGGTAAGCGATTTTTCAAAAACGGGATCGTTCACACAAAATTTTTTTTTAATTCTGTCATCATTTTCTCACCCTCAAGTTGTTCCTGAGTTTCTTTTTTTCTGCACATAAGAAGATATTCTGAAGAATGCTGGTAACCAAACAGTTGACGGTAGCCATTGACTAATATAGTATGGAAAAACACATACTATGGAAGTCAATGGCTACCGCCAACATTTTGGTTACCTACATTCTACAAAATATCTTCTTTAGTGCTCAGCAAAGAAAGACACCCATACAGGTTTGGAGTAAATTCAGGGTGAGTAAATTATGTAAGAATTTTAATTTTTAGGCGAACGATCCTTTTAACACCTGGAGGCTGTAAAACAGCACAGAGACAGTGAGAGATCGTTGGGATACCGGAGTAACCGTGTCGTTCTTCAGAGCCGAGTTGTACTGGAGCTCTGAACGCAGCGGTTCTCCACTGGGGAACGTGAGCAGTGGAGATTTTGTGGCGATTTCACACACTCCCTCGTACCATTCCTCAGGCCACAGACCTAAAACACACACAGACACAATCCTGTAGAAATACTCTCTCCTCAGGTTATGAGATCCTACAACAGCAAACCATACACGAGACTGTGGATGTGGTGAATTCATGCTTAAATGCTGTCAGTGATGCTGATTTATTTTATTTCCTTACCAGAACCTTCCACAGCAAAACCCATGACCACAGAATAGAGCCAGAAATCTCTAAAGAGCTTCTGAAGGCGAGGTTTGGCCTCTTTAATGGGAGGCAACCGGCGGGTCAACTGCATACAATCGAACACAAGACACAATTAATTTAACTTAAAATTTAGAAACATTATGAAAATGTTGGTAGTTCTTTTAAAGAATTATATCCAACAACAAAAAAAAGCTGCCACTGTTTGTGCATTTCAAGTTTTTTTTCCCCAATTCCATTTATTAAACAAAAAATAATTACACAAATAAATAATAAAATAATGATAAAACTAAAATGTAAATAATAAAGAAAATGAATAAAATAATTGCATTTAAAAATAAAATAACTGTTACTATACTATTTATTGTATCACATCAGGGATTTGTTTATAGTCATTGTTTAACATTCCACATTATCTGCTTGCATTGCCAAAAAAAAAACCCCTGCAATTTCATATCGCTAAATGCATCTACTTTTCCCTCAAAGTATAAATATATGTCAGTTTATCCAAAGCAAGATTACATGACATTTCTTCAATCCACTGAGTGCTTTTCCATGCACTTTTAGAACTAAAATCTATAAGCTAACATTTACTAAATTTACTAAAGTTAAACATCCAATTTAGCCTCCAAGGAAACACCCTCTTCAGTCAGATCACAGATCATATCAAGAACTTTTTCCAGAAAAACTGCAACTCTCTGCATACAATGAAACGGTGTGCCAGTTTCCTCAATAGATTTTATACAGTTGTCAGGTATATTAGGATAAAAGCTCTTATAAGTCCTAAGAGGCCATTTACAGTGTATTTGTATTAATTTGCACCTAGTATTAATGTATTGAGTGCATATCAAGGGTTAATTGAGTCAGATGAAGGTCTGTGAGGACTGTTTGAACTCGCTGCTGTTTGATCAGTGAAGAGCCACTTCAAAGTCCAGCCGGAGAACGAATCCACAAACAGACCGTCCACACACACAAAAACACAGAGATTCCAGAGGGACAGAGCAGGTAAGCAGCTCAAACTAGCATTAAAGATTTCATAAGACTGTTGACACTGGTGTGATGTTTCTGAGATCAAGCTAAGGAAGTAACCAAAGGCAAAAATTTAACAATCACTGAAAAGCACTGAAAAAATTAATTGATTGTTCTGGATACTGGGTGTCCCCATAACTGTCTATAGTGGTCACAGCTTAGGATTTACTTCATTTACAAGTCACTTTGGATCAGTGTTGTTATTGTTAACAAAAATCTGTAATATTGAGAAAAAAAAGAAATAAAATGGAAATAAAATAAATTTAAAAAATGAAATTAATATTAAATAGGTTTCCTTGCCAGCTAACTAAAAATAGTAGTTGAAGCATGAAAACAATAGAAAATAAAAAACAAACTATAAAAAAAAAAACATGTATAAAACAAACTGAAATTAAAATGAATACTAACAATATTAAAAATAATAAAATTTATTAAATTGTAAAAAACACCATAACAGTATATTAATGTGGCACTATTAAATTAACACTACTTTGGATAAAAGCATCTGCTAAATTAATAAATGTAAATGTTTACATGGCATATGAGCATTGTGTGCTATATTTCAGAGAAATGTCTGTGTAATATATATGTACATTTGTCAATCGTTCAGTATTCCCATGTGTGCATTTTTCCATAGGATGTGGTTCGTTCCAGTTATAGTTGTAGTCTCTCTCCTGAGCAGCCCCGCTCTGGCTGGGGTCAAAGACCTCAGCTCACACTTTGACGGAAGTGAGAAGGAAAAGTTGGTGGATGTCCGTGGACTTTCTCCAAATGGAGAGAACACAGACATGGAGTCCATTCCTTTGGACTTCCATCGGGAGAATACAGTCACAAATGACCTCCCTCTGGAAGGGCTGGAAGATGAAGACTACATCGACTTCGATAAGATCTTGGCGGAGGGTGAGGATGACTATAGTGAAGGCGACCATATAGACGAGATTTCCACTCCTGCTCCTGACCTGGACCTCTTTGGGGAGCCCAGTGACCCCAAAATACGCCGAGCACGCTTGTTGCGGCTCTTCCATGGGCGAACTCGTCTGCAGCGCATCAACGTGGTCAACACCCGCTTCGGGTGCCGGCTTTATCGGAAACTGCGCAATCGACTTAACCAGACGGACAACATTCTGCTCGCTCCTGTCGGGATCTCCATTGCGATGGGCATGATGGCTCTGGGAGTCGGCCCAACCGCTCACGAACAACTCTACCAAACTCTCGGATTTGCTGAATTTGTCAATGCCAGCACTCATTACGATAACTCGACCGTGCACAAGCTGTTCCGCAAACTCACGCACAGGCTCTTCCGACGGAACTTCGGCTACAACTTACGCTCCGTTAATGACCTGTACGTGAAAAGAAACATCCGCATACAGGAGGCTTTCCGTAGCGATGCAAAGACGTACTACTTCGCCGAGCCACAGTCTGTGGACTTTGCCGACCCGGCCTTCCTTGTGAAGGCCAACCAGCGCATTCAGAAGATCACCAAAGGTCTGATAAAGGAACCGCTGAAGAGCGTAGACCCCAATATGGCAGTGATGCTCCTGAACTACCTTTACTTCAAAGGTGAATCGATTCTAGCCTATTCAAAGACTGAAACTCTTTAGGACTAATGGTTTAATCCTTCATTTGAATAATCTGCCCTCAATCCTAGAGCAAAGAATAATGTACTATGTGAAATGCTTTGTGTACTACCATTGAGTTCAATATTGAGCATTCAGTTTGATGTTAGCCTGACTAAATAGACCAGCATCTTGACTAGGTCAACCGAACTTCATGGCTGTGCTGGTTCGCCAATTTGACCTGCACCAAACCAACATAAACCAGCACAATTACAGCCTAAGCTGTAGTGATGTGTCGTTCGCGATCGAGCCGGCTCTAAGAGCCGATTCTTTGTAGCGAACGAGAAGAGCCGACTCCCGTCGGGGAGAACCGAATCTTCAACCAGAGCCTTCTATTTCAGGCCAATTTAGCAATTGTGAATGGTTTGTGTGTTGATAAGCAATTTTTTATTTAGTGTTCTCAAAAACCTTATTTTTATGCATTTTTTCGTTACAAAAAAAAACACATGCGGCTAATCACATGGGAGGACAGACTAGGATCATACCATTATGTGAAAGAAGGAATGGTGACACAAGCTCTGAAGATAGCGAGTGTAGTGGTACAGGCCAGATACACAGAGCGACAGAGAGAGACGGGGGAGCCGGATTTATATGCAAGCACGTTGGTTAAGGTAATGGTAGGAAGACACTGCATTGTTGCAACATCGGTCCTCTCAGAGAGAATCTTTTCAAAAACAGGACAAATAATCACAGAGAGGAGAAATCGCATCAGCACATCTAAGCTGAAGCATCTGATATTTCTGAATGCCAACCTGCACTAAAGACTAAAGTGTTATTATTCAAGTTTTATTAAAATGTTAAATAATAGTATGTGTGTAATTTTTTGTTTTGTAACGAAAAAAAAAAAGCATAAAAATAAGGCTTTTATGAAAACACTGAATAAAAAATTGCTTACCAACACACAAACCATTCACAATTGCTAAATTGGGCTAAAATATAAGGCTCAGAGTGATACTAAATGAAGAGCCATTTGGGAGCCATAAGAGTCAGCTCTTCTAAGGGAGCCGAGCCAAAAGAGCCGAATCTTTGAAAAGAGCCAAACTTCCCATCACTACTAAGCTGGTCTTTTCAACAGGGAAACCTGTAGATCAGTGAAGCCAACCCTGCTCTTGGAGGGCTACCTTACTTCAGACTTCAGTCACAACCCTGCCCAAAACACTTGGCCGTAATTTTCTACTACTCTTGAGCACATTGATTAGCTGGTGAATAGGAACTTCTGTCTCAAGCAGGGGTGTCCACTCCCACTCCTGAAGGGCCAATGTCCTGCAGAGTTTAGCACTAACACACCTGCCTGGACGTTTCTTTTGATGCTGAAGACCTTGATTAGCTAGTTCAGGGGCCAGTTGCATAAACATAGACATTATGTTAAGACTGTGTCTTACAAACTAGTTCGACCAACTAGCAGTTAGCCAAGGGGTAATCAGTCTTATTTTTTGGATTCACATTAGACCAGTCTACCTTTTTGTAACGGACTTTAAAAAGTTATGACCAGACTTAGATGACTAACTTTTTAAGACTAGTCTAAACCGTTTATGCAACCCGCCCCAGGTGTGTTTAATGAAAGTGAGAACTAAACTCTGCAGGAAGATGCCCTCCGGAAGCAGGACTGACTACCCCAACTGCAGATATTTGGTGAATAGGAACTTCTGTCTCAACTAGGGGTGTCCAATCCTGCTCCTGAAGGGTCCATTTCCTGCAGAGTTTAGCTCTAATACATGTGCCTGGAAGTTTCTTGTGATCCTCAAGACCTTGATTAGCTAGTTCAGGTTTCATTAATGAGGGCGAGATCCAAACCCTGCAGGAAGATAGTCCTCCGGGAACAGGGCTGACTACTCCAGCTGTAGATTTTTAGTGAATAGGAACTTCTGTCTCAACCAGGGGTGTTCAATCTTGCTCCTAAAAAGTCAGTATCCTGTAGAGTTTAGTTCTAACACATGTACCTGGAAGTTTCTTGCTATCCCGAAGACCTTGATTAGTTGGTTCAGGTGTTTTTTAAGCCATCTACACGCTGCATGATTTTAGCAATCCTATAAGATCATTGCAAATCACACTGTGCAACATGGATCTGATAATCTTGGGTACGACATGCATGCAGACTGTATGATGATGACACCTATTGACTCGTACGCTACGACGTACGTTACTATAGAAGAATAAAATGTCATCAGCATGCGCTAGTGGTAAACAAAAAGAGCATGATGAATCACACTTTGGCAGTTGTAGTTTTTATATGTAATGAAAAAAGTGGAAGCGGCGAAAGAGGAAGGGATAAGAGCTTGATGTAAGCAGTTTTAAGTTTTAGCGCCGTGCCGCGTTGATTTCATGTCACATCTTTATTGGCTGGACAGTAAAAGTGGGTCGTAGCACTGTGATGATCATGCTGAATTTCTGACACTGTCAGAAAATGATCATAGGCTATCTTTGATCACAAGTCGTGCAGTGTGTCTCGGGCTTAATGAGGGCAAGAACTAAACTAAGCAGGAAGATGGCCCTCTTGGAGCAGCACTGACTACCACAGCTGTAGAAATTTGGTAAACCGGAACTGTTGTCTCAATCAGGGGTGTCCAATCCTGCTCCTGGAGAATCACTTTCTTGCAGAGTGTAGCTCCAACACATATGCCTGAAAGTTTCTTGTGATCCTGAATTCATTTGCTGGTTCAGGTGTGTTTAATTAGGGCTAGAGCTAAACTCCGCTGGAAGGTGGCCCTCCAGAAACAGGACTGCACACCCCTTCTTTAAACAGATTAGAATTCATAAGGAATAATATCACATACAACTTTGAAATAACACAACCTTATGTTTTCACTGGTACAACAAACGCAGGTACGTGGGAGCAGAAGTTCCCGAAGGAACTGACACACTACCGGCAATTCCGTGTCAATGAGAAAAAGCAAGTGCGTGTACCCATGATGCAGAACAAAGGAAGCTACCTGGCAGCGGCCGATCACGAGCTCAACTGCGACATACTGCAGCTGCCCTACACCGGAAACATCAGCATGATCATCGCTGTTCCTCAGAAACTCTCTGGAATGAGATCCCTGGAGCAGGAGGTCTCCCCAACTCTGATCAATAAGTGGCTTAACAACATGACCAACAGGTAAAGCACTAGCCGTAGGTGTGAGACCAAGTTACAAACAAGTCAGCAAGGCACTTTAATGTCCCTGACTCAATTAAGTGCTTAAGATGATTTAACATGAAGTTAGACAAGTTCCTGGATAGATATCCTTGTTGCTTATGGAACAACACTGCTATCAACCTCTTAGATACTAGAGTTAAGTTCAGGGTTAACCAGTATTACCCTATCATTTCCCTGAATTTCCACTTTTAGTGGTACTTTATGGTTTGGAATATATTTGGTCTTTGGTTTACAGTTAGGGTTAGAGTTAGAGCTTGGTAAGAATGTTGATCCAGAAATACTTCCTACTCGGCTAAATCATTCTCCAGTTGTCTTTTTGGCTTTGTATGGTCTTAAAATGTTTCTCTGGTAGGACTCGTGAGGTGGTTTTCCCTCGGTTTAAGCTGGAGCAGAACTATGACTTGATTGAGCACCTGACGGAAATGGGCTTGACGGACCCGTTTACTGAAAAGGGTGACTTTTCCCCAATGACTTCCGAGAAGGTCATCATCAACTGGGTAAGAGAAGAACTGACAAATTCAACTCGTAACTTGTTCAACACCTTCTGTTGTGTCGAGAGCACTTTAGGTCGCCTACGCCTAATCTCCTACAAAAACATACTCTTTGACCTTTCATTGCACCATCATAACCTTCTTTCCTGCAAACCTCCTTCTCTTCTCTCTCAGTTTAAGCATCAGGGCACCATTACAGTGAATGAAGAAGGTACAGAGGCCGCAGCAATGACAAGTATCGGATTCATGCCTTTATCAACACAGACGCGTTTCATCGTGGACCGCCCCTTCCTCTTCCTCATCTACGAGCATCGCACGGGCTGCGTTGTGTTCATGGGACGTGTGGTAGACCCTTCACAGAGTTAATCAGATGCACATACACAATACAGCCGTGCAATGGCCGATGCATCACTGTATAACAATGAAACTAAAGCGTTAGCCAAATAAGCGGATGAGAATGATGGTTATTTTGTTTTATCAAGTAAAGTGAGTTTTGTAAAGAAATGCTAGTGAAATTTAAATACTGATTTAATCAACTGATAAACATCTGTGTATTTTTGAAGCAGAACGTGTTGTTAAATAAAATAACTCAGAGGACTGGATTACTGAATTAATCTGTTTAAAGAGTGAATAAAAACAACGCTCGAGTACACCAACAACATGGCAGAACATTTTGCAAGCTAAGTAAATATTTGTCAGAGAAGTTAAAGTCTAACCACAGGCGCTCAAGATCTAATTACAATTTCTAGACATACACATGAATAATGAAGCATCCAACAAGAGCAGAAAGAGCTCTTGCATTTGCATTTATACAAAAAAAACAGTATCTCATTACAAAAAAGGAGCAAGATTGATCTAAGTTTTTGTAGACAAAATCTTTGATTAGTTACTTTTATGCTTTCGAAAAATTTACTCTTTGATCTTCAAAAGCACGCTAGCCCTAAGAGAGCTCATAAATCATTTAAAGGGACTGAACAGGAAAACATTTTTCCTTCCATTAACATTTGCATACTATATCCGATGTAAAACAGGCCCAGAAGAAAATATTGCTACTCTTATTTTTGTTTCAATGTGATAAAGCACTCGGTAATCACATTTGTCAAAGTTACTTACCAAAATACTTATTTATACAATTTAATAGAAAACTAAAAATATATGTAATATTTATATTTAAAAGCAATTTTCTTTATGGCCTTTAAATATTATAATAAATATAATTTATAATATTATAATTTCATATTATTTATAATATTGTAATTGTAATATTATTCTATTAAATGACATTAAATAAAGTGTATTGAATATTTTGTTAATACAAAATAATTACTTTAATTCCAAAAGCATAATTTATGCTTGCAGCACCTCCCCTTAAATAAAATGCATATAAAAGAATGAAATGAGATTCGGCTGTTTAAATACCGTGAGTGTGTGTCTGTGTGTCTTACCACAGCGATTACAGGTATGAGGACGCCTAGATTACCAGCACTGCTGGACGCCTAGAAAATAAAATAATAACTAAATTAAAACAACATTCAAGACACACTGAAACATTCCAGAATCCTATATGTGACCCTGGAGCACAAAAGCAGTCTTGAGTCGCTGGGGTATATTTGTAGCAATAGCCAACAATACATTGCATGGGTCAAAATTACTGATTTTTCTTTTATGCCAAAAATCATTAGGATATTAAGTAAAGATCATGCTCCATGAAGATATTTTGTAAATTTTCTACTGTAAATATCTCAAAACTTAATTTTTGATTAGTAATATGCATTGCTAAGAACTTTATTTGGACAACTTTAAAGGCACCCTCAGATTTCAGATTTTCAAATAGTTGTATTTCGGCCAAATATTGTCCT